TGAGTTCTATTCAATTTCATTCAAATATTGTGAGTTCTTTTTTTTACATTTCAGTGTGTCTTGAAAATACTGATACATGATGGTTTGACTTCTGATGTACAAAAATATATACATTCATCTTGTGTGATAATTTGAAGAGCTGACATGTTTAACCCAGCTTGTAAAAAAATTGAATTCAAAAACCGACGTGCATTTGTTACCAGAGAGAGGAATGTGACCCAACAAGTAGATCATTCCAGACAACCATCATGATTCAAGGGGATTTTTTATTCAAAACTTTGAAAAATTGTCACACATTTCTCTGTTTTCATTTTTGCAAGGGTCTTGAGTTCCTTTGGATGCTTTCCTGAAGTGAAGCCACAAAAAGCTGCCAAGTAATCCGCTACTTAGGAAAACAATACCTATGAACCATACCAATCCAGAGAATGATCCCTTGGGAAAACCACTACATTGGTGTGGATCTGTCAAGTTTGAAGAAACAAGGGCCGAGGAAATCAGCCCTCCCAGGATGTTTCCTATTCCTCGAGTCATGGATAGAATTCCGTAAGCGGAAAATAGTAACTCCCGATCCGCTTTCAACAGTAAAATTGTGCATTATGATAGAGAGATTAAAAGTTAGAAGGAATTGTTGATTGGTGTCAGTAAGCTTGAAATGCTGATCATTTTTTATAGCGCAAGGAGATGTCACATACAGACAAAGTGCTTTAAAACCCGGAAATATAAGCTTGTCCATGCACCGGCGGTAGAACCATAGACAGCCGCAAAGACAAACAGCCACACAATGCCGCTGTGGCTCAGAGCACCCCACAAGATGAGAACACTTGCGGCCCCTAGAAGATTGGCTGTGAGCCCAATGAGGAAGGGTGAATAGTGGTCTGATAGGGCACCAGCTGCGAGCTGCGCAAATATTGTTCCAGCTGGGATATATGGACTGTGGTCAATTATTTACCAGAATGCTTTATAGTTGTCAATTCTTACAATTTAGAATAGCCAGCAGAGCACTTCCTGCCACGCTTCTACGGCCAAGGCAATGAATATAGGCTATAATAGACAAAAATGTCGTTGTTACCACCAAAAACACGTAAGCTTGGAAGTTAGATTTTGCGTTTAGGATCAAAATTTGACCAAAGCACTTACTTGGAAGATATAAGCCTGGTAGGTAGAAGGCAGTTGATTGAACGGTGTTTAAGAGTATATAAGTACAAAATATTCCGGTTAAACACTGATAAAAATTGTGGAACAAGTTCTCCGAACTTGGCACGGCTTGCTTTTCACAACTGGAAACCGATTGGGTCAAGCTGTCCTGGCGCTGCCGGCAATGTGGAATTCTCGGGCGTATGAACAGAACCGCCAAGAAAATGGGAATTGCAAACAGCACCGTCTGGTTGGGCCAATTGGAATCAGTTTCTCCTCTATGAGTGACTTCCTCCTCACAAAATTAGCCGCTCACGGTAATCTGCAAGGCTAATTTGGCACCATACTTCCCTAGGAGACTGTTTAAGATCAAAGGGAAGATCAGACCTCCCAAGCCGGTCCCTGTGACCATATCAAACGGTCAGCTGAGTAGAGTGGTTTTAAGGGGCGACGTGCCTCTGAGTACATACCGGTGAAAACGAATCCGTTTGCAAACCCTTGTCGCAGGTCGAACCATTCCGGAAGATGAGAAAGCTGGATAACAGATCAATATGTACTTTATCAGTGGATACATCGGTCTCCGGAGATAGATTCTAATATTCCAGCGGTACTGTAGCTCACGGCCGAATAATATAACGCGCACCCGCCAATGCCGTATCCTATCCCTTGAGTCAAGAGAATATGAAAGGCCTGTTGAGAACCGATTCAGCCAAGGCTGACTCAATGCTTCAGAGAAATCGACCCTCTTACAGAAGTAGAATAGGCAGACAAGAATAAGCTCAGTGTGCATGTAAGCAGACCCGAAAACATCAATCGACGCCTTATGCCTGGTTTCTTGGCCATCCAAAATGAGAATAGTGGTGCTGGAGGAAGGTAGGATTGTGGATTATTCATTGATAAGTGTGGATTTGAAGTCTATGGGACCACAGGCCGTTACAGCTTACCTGCACCGGCAATGGTACCAGTGTTAATCGTTCCCACAAGAGTGAGTATTAGTTTGGCATGTGGATCTGGTTTTATTGGGCTGCGTGGATCATGTTGGTAAAAATTGAACAACACGCCAAACGAGGTAGCAAATCCCTGAAATTCATGTAATGAAATGTTACCGAACTTGGCCTTGGCTCTTTTCTCGCATTAAGACTGATAATTCCAACCTATCGCTTACCCATACAATCGTCTCAATAGTGAACATAGCCATCAAATATTGAACAGCGCACTTTCCCTTATCGACTGGAGGATCATGATTCGCACCAGCTGTTTCCAAAGTATCACCCGCCTTGGTTCCGTTGAGCTTCGATGATTTCGATTGATGTCGTTCAGCAGAATGCCACATTCTAATCAAGGGAGCTCTATTCCACGACTGGGGCTTTACAACTTCTTAATGTTTATTCTTCTAATGGATATATGAGGATGGCAGTAGCTAATTTCCTCAGTGTAATTCTTGGAGGGGGGAGGTCAAAGTCGGCGGCACGAGTCAATAGATCGCGTCGTACTCACATTGCCCGATTATGTACCCTTCTTCGGCTAGGTGAAACTGGGGAGCATTGTAGTCCTTGTTGTTGACCGCCATAATTTGTCACCATACCCTGCCACAATGGTGAACATGTGCATCTACCTATACAGAACGTAGGAGCTAGAGAGTCTTTGAGACTTCTTGCCGATCACGGCGCACGCGCAGACCCCAGTAATGAAACTTGTCTCTGTTCTACTGCTGGTTGTTCAAGCCAAAAAAAAGCTAATCAAACAATCAGATCGAAATATGATGAACTGGCCCCTCACAAATTGCAACACTAACAAACCAAACACAGGATAGACTATGCTTCGGCACTTCTCTCATGTAATTTAGTGGGCCACAGTGTTTATTTGAGCATTTTTGACAACGTGTTTCGTCAACGGCATTGGAGCTATGTAGCGCCACCGGAAGACCTGACGCAATTTCATCTCCTTGCAAGGGTAATTTGGCTACAAATTACAATCTAATGGATAAGGGATGCCGGATGGTACATAAATGGTCGTTCTCAAACGATGAAAATGACGATCGTCAGTTTGCGCTCGTTCCATTGGTGCAGATTAATCGCATTTGATTTGCCGAAGTCGATGGCATTTAGCGACACCAAAGTGCTTGTTTACAGTCTCCACAGAATTCGTTTGACTTTGGAAAAACCGAAACATCACTATTGAGCTGTACAATTCTGCCTTCAATCACAATGATCAGGCGAGGAATGCTGGTTAGAATCACTAGGCGCTTGGACCGGCATCAGTTAGGTTCGTCGAGCATGCGATAAGAATGTTGAATTCAAGGAGTAGGCTTGCACACTGAATCAAGCTCAAATTTAAAACTCCGCAATTTGTGGCTTCATGGCCTCATGTGGAGGTGGCCGATGATGATTCCCAGCGTATGCTATCTCCTTCCATGACAACCCCGCTAGATACAGGACTGAGATATCTTCATTTCTCTTGAAAACCTCTCTCCTTCTGTGAAACACTCTTAAGAATCACCCCAGGAAAAACGTCTTCCCGTAGATATGCCTTGTATCAGGTAAGAAGCCGCAGAGGTAATGGAGGGTGGTGTATGTACAAAGTCTCATTTTTTTTAAACATGGAACGCAGGCCCATCCCATACCTAGGCTAACTGATCCGGACACCCGCAGAGCCGATTGCGGTTGCTGTTCTTTGACTCTCAGCTCAAGTCCGTGCCACTTGGGGGGCGCCGGGGCGGGGCAGGTTGGGAGATGTGAGCGATAAAAGGTTGATTGTATACTCTGCTCATCGGAAGAGAGCAATATGTGAGTCTCTACTCTCGTCATCACAGAGACTGGGGAATTATAACAGTTCCTGGGCTTGCACCAAAACATTGTCCCCATCACACCTGACCCGATTATCATCCTTGTGTAAAGGGCTGGAAGAGGTCCATGATACATTCTTTACTGATGCCGATGGGTACCGGTGAGTACCTTCAAGTACTCTCGATATTCGGAGACATGAAAGCAGAGCTCACAGCCATAACTCATCTGATTAACCGCTGTTAATGAACCTTAATAGCTCCGACCTAGGGATCACAATTTAAAAGCGCAGAACATGGTCCGGAACTGCCTACAATAATAGGACAGTTTCGGCTCGAACTTAACGCAGTCCCTCTCCTTTGGCAGGCAAGGGGCGCGAAAGCGACCTCCCAGACAGAGACCCTGCGGGGCTGCCCTTCGGGCTCTCACTCGAGAGGCTTGTGTTAGGCTCGGTTTCGGCTATGTATGCTTAAATGCATCTATGGGGAAGATGTTTCACACTGTGTGAATCTATAATCCACTCATCATTTCGATCATGGCTTGCGTTTCTCCACCGGCCGTTACTAAGAACCATGTTTATGGCAGTTTTTTTCTCCCTCCAAACCTGAAGACTTTGTAGGAGGCTCTGCTGAAGTGTGGCTACACTGATACTGAGACCTTTAGGGACATGTGGCACATTTAGTGAGAAATTTTTTGATTCTATCAAATCAAGAAGTTTTACAGATGAACAGCCATTTGTAGAGAATGATAATCAAACATCATACAGGCTTAAATACTATCATGCCCCTATAAGGTTGTGGATTGAGAGAAATGTGAGAATATAGTACAGAACATATTTATTCCCCACATCCCTGAACTTGGTCCAGACTGATGGGGACTGTGAAGTGCTTTGGCATGTCAAATCATGTCACAACAGCACCAAACCCACCCATCTGCAATGTTTAAAAACACAACAGAAACTTCTTGGTTTGTGAATGAATTCACTGAGAACTCATTCATGCAAACTGAAATATGCTCCTGAGGCAAACTTCTGAATGGCAATCCCCCAGTTTCTCTTTGCCTTTGTAACGCATCTGTGTTTAGGAGATTAATCAAGTAAGTGCCCCTCCATGGTCTCCACTGCCAGCCAACTAGCCAGGCCAATCAGGTCCGACACGCACAGGCGCGTACAATTTCAAAGACACAGCTCTCTGACCAAGATAAGAGTCACAGTACTCCTTATCCTTCTCTTGCACTCCAAGCTCCGACATAAGATATATCTCCAAGCCCTAAAATGTGCCTGTGTGTGTTTGCATTCAAGACACATGCATGGAAAATACAAGCAAGTTCAATCTTGGTGCTCTAGGTGGGGAAGAAAAATAAGCTTCATTTACTCTTTTCTTTATACAAAATGCCTCATAGATAAAAGAAGGGGGTCGGAAAAACGATTCCCAAAAATTGTCCGACGACTCCCATTTTGGTCAAGGATTCGTCGGACGGGATTCGTTCTTCTAAATGGATGGCCGACTTTGGGAGTCGGCCATCCAATTTCTTTTTTAATTTTTAATTAATTAATTTTTTTATTTTTAGGGAGTCGGTGCCCCAAACCACCCCTCATGCTTAAGGGGGTTTGGGAGTTGCTTGCTCCCATGACCGGAAGGATTTCCTTCTGGTCAACGAGAAGTTATACCTCATCGATCGGAAGGGATTCCTTCCGGTCGATGAGGTATAACATCCTCATTGACGGAAGGAATCCCTTCCGATCAATGAGGTATAACAATCTCATTGACAGGAAGGGATTCCTTCCGGTCAATGAGATGTAACAATCTCATCGACTGGAAGGAATCCTGTCAGCCTTAGAGATACTCCAGAGTATCCAAAAGACTGCTAAATGAATATTAAGTATTAAAATAATCCATATGTAATATAATATGTAGTAATATTATTTAATAAAACAATATTTCATAAGATTATAAAGGGGGTTGTCCACTGGAAGTATCCCCAAATTCCCACTCCTTCAAGGACTTTGTATATATTCAAACTCTTGAAGGACAAAAGGAATAAAATATATAAATTTATAGAATAAAATTAATGTATATTAAATTAGGGTTAAATATACATTTAGGGTAACCTTAGAAATTTTATTCTACAAGCATAATCAATTTATTAAAACTTGTAGAAAAGAAATAACCACACTATGTCAAGAGTGTGGCACTTTCTACTAGTAGTATTCTATTTTAAGTAGAAACATGATGTAATTGGCTATAAATATGCATCATGATGTCATGGGACATAGAATACACATTATTTGAAATACCTTGAATTATTCCCATTACATCAGGGGAATAACTCTACCATGGTAGACCAAAGAGAGATTCTAGAATATTCTAAGGAGGGCCTCAAGGGGACCTCTAGAATATTTAAGGAGGCCTTCTCCTGCCTAGGATTGGTTCCTCAGCATATTCACCCCCAACAAACTAAGTGAGTACAGTGAATATTCTCCTCCTACTTTTAGAGTAGTCTTTTTATTATCCAATCCAACCCTACCTTCCTACTGGAATTATTATTAAGTTGAGAGTTATCCCAGACTCAAAACTTAACTAATTCCTTAAAAAGTAGTTGCTGCAAGACCACCACCTCTGACTGTAGCCTTTCAGCTCAGGTGCTTGCCAGCTACTTCTTGCAATATTAATTATTGCTTCCAAACACTCTACAATAACATATTCTGTTATTGTCTACAATAACATATTCTGTTATTGTCTCCTACAGTGCTCTCTTGATTATTCAAGTGTCTTTAACTGAGGAGTGTGGACTTTATAACCTCTTAAGTGGGAAGTTTGGACCACTTAATACTTTGAGGGTGACTAGGAGTAATCTTGGTCTTTAACCTGAGTCCTTCAGCACAGTAATAGTACTTGGCTTTTATATTATTAAGCCAAAGTTTCATACACATAGCTGACAAGTGGGGGCCTCATCTGCCTGATCCCTTGATCTTAGAGCCAGAATTTTCTAATAGAAAATTCCAGCAAATTTCAATACATCTGTAGAGAAATTTCTGTGGTTCAATCACCATTTTCCTTCTTCTCATCACACCATTGTCCTGAGAATTTATCATCACACCATTCTCCTGAGAATTTTTTTCAGGAAAATCTGTGCCAGAAAATTCTCTGTATTGAAATCATATTTTCTGGGAATTCTTGCCTGTGGCTCTGACAGGAATTCTATACCAGGAAAATTCTCATAATTGAAAAACCTTGCAGAGGTTTTTCTGTAGAAAAATCTTTTTCTCAGTTTCTACTCTCTTATTTGAAAAAAAAAAAAAAAAAAAAATATATATATATATATATAGAGAGAGTTTTGTATTTCCAAAGAAACATTCTAGAAACATAAGCCTTTTTCAAAGTGAAGCCATAGGCAGTTTTTCTAGAACTAACCGAAGAATTTGAAATCATTTCAATAACTTGTTCACATATATCGAACGAAACGAGTGTCAGGACCAACCGTTCATCAGTATTCTTATTGAACTACTGACTAGTCGCTAGAACAAGTAGACTGTTCTCAGTAACGAAACAGAGCTACCGAACGAAGAAACACAGAACAATAGGGAAAACGAGAGATTTTTTGCCCTCGACTTTCCTTCTAGAAAATTCAGGGGAATAAGTTATAAAGAGACCCCAGTAGAGCCTTTTCAGCTAACCAGGTTCATCTTTTGAATCGTTCCTAGATTAATAGCAAGAAAAAGCCGAAAATAGTAGCAATCGATCAAAAGCATCGTCATAAGTAAGACTACCGACTGAATAGTTCTAGCCTAGTAAGACTTACTGACAATAAGCCTTAGTGTCTAACAACGTAGGCCGCACTCAATCCGTACCTCCGAACGCGCTAGCAAGCCCGTTACAAGTAGCCGACAACAGGAGCGAACCACCGGCGACACTGCCCGCTAGAATTATTGAGAAGGACTTCGACGCGGTAGCCGCAGCAAAGGAGTTATTAAAAAGTAATTATTTTTTCTTTCTTGAACTAGTAGCAACTAGTAGTAACCAAGATGGTTTTGTCTACCAGGTCAGGAGTCGACCATGGCGCAAAACCTGCCCCAACGCGAAGAGGCCGAGGAAGGGGAAGAGGAAGAGCTAGAGGTAGTCATCGACAAGGCACCGAAAGGTTGGCCTCGTCCTCTCAACCCCAAACATCTGAATCATCGCTAACATCGATTGAATATAGCGTTCACAGGGGAGAAACCCCTCTCGAACAACCAATTAACCTTGATCGACATGCTCATAGCGTCGAAGAAGGTGTACATGAACGCGAAGGCGGCGGAGGAATACGAAATCCTTCCCCAGTTGATCGAACAATCAATCAAAATATTCCAAACCGTGACGACCTTCCTAGGGTGGAAAGAAACCAGAGCAAAGATCGACAACTGGCACCCGCACAAAGAGAAGAAAGTCGCGGAGTTCTGGGCGAACCACGCGAAAGAACAAAAGGAATAGAAAAACGAGCCGAACAAAAAAGCACCAGCGACGACCGGCACCGTCAAGGAGAAGCTCAAAGGGTACAAGATACCCAAGAAAAAGAAGAACTCGACAGCCGGCACGAGCAAACCTCACAAGCAAAACAGAGGGAAGGCAGCGCAAAAGAGAAAGAGGATGGCGGAAAAGAAAAGCTGGAGAAATGTGACTCACCTAGCCCAAGCTATGCTGGACTTCAAGGAAGCAGCAGAGAAATGAATTCCTCAGCACCCATAGCTAGTTCCTCTAAACTTCCCCCTACACCCTCTGTTGTACCTAGCTCTAAAGTTTCAGAAATCTATAACTCTGAAATTGAAAACACAGAATTTTTTGATCAAATTCTTATTAAAAATATCATACATATTGATCAAAAGATCAATGAAATAAAACAAGTTTCTTACAACACTAAGTATGATGTGAGACAGCTTGGAATATCAGTTGCTGAGTACAATAAAGAATTCCAGGTCAGCATTAATGAAGCTAAGAAAATACCAGGCATTGTACAAGCACTGAAAGAGTTAAAAACCATTATTCTGAATAAATTAATGGAAAATAACAACTCAATAGCCAGAGAAAATACAACCTCTGGTAAAGAAAAAGAAAAATCTGATAAGAAAGATAACCAAGACCTCATTATTCTGGAAATACAGAAATTGAGGAATGAGTTATATTCTAGACTAAATAAAAATGATGTGTCTATTACTAAAGACATCACTGAAAAACTGGAACAACTCCATTTGGATAGTGATACAACTTCTGAAGTACACATGGAGAATATGATGTCCATATTGGAAAAAACAGAAAATATGGAGAAGAATATAAATAACAGATTGAGTACTCTAGAAGACAACATCAACATAAGAATAGACAACATGGAGAATAAACTTAATTTAACATTAAGTGAGAAAATTGGGGAGTTAATTGAGAAGTTACCAACCCAAGAAAAGAAAAGTCAACCAGTTACCTATGTTAATAACAACAATACAGGTAATACTTACACCCCTGAACCAAGAGGACCTGTGCACAATCCATATTTCCCCTTGAAGGAAAATATGGGTACCATAATTCCAGAAGATAACCATGTGAAACAAACCCCTCCTCATATATCTCCTAGCCAACATAGCTCTGAAATAAAAGAGACTAGTAAAGATGGGAGCAGAATTGAGATTCCCAGAATCAAAGATTGGCCCAAATTTACAGGTGAAGGAGAATATGACCACTTAGAATTCATAAGGACCATAGACCTACTCAAGGAAGACTTTGAATTATCAGACCTGTCTATAGCAGGAAGATTGAGTAGTTTATTCAAAGGAGCTGCTCGAAGATGGTTCAATGATATCCGAACCAGTCATGGCAAACAACCTTGGAGTTGGTGGAAAGAACAGATCCTTAATAAATGGGGTAGCCCAGCATGGAGATACACAGTAGAAAATAAATTTGATGAGAGTATTTTTGACATAGAAAAAGACTCACCAATCAAATGGGTATTAGCACAAAAGGACAGACTACAAGCACTGTGGCCATTCATGTCCCAACAAGACATGCACCTTAGGATTCTTAAAAAGTGTGGAGGAGATTTAGAACATGCTGTCAAAAGTAGAGCACCTAGAGATGCCTCCACAGAAGATATTATTAACATCCTAGAAGATATAATTACTAGGACCAAGATTGGAAGAAGATATAAACCTGTAAAGAGTAACTACATGAGTAGAACAGACTCTAAAGGGTATGTTAACACTAACAATCAAAAGGAGTCCACCAAAGATGTAAATCCCAATAAGGATAAGAAGTGTTATACCTGCCAAAAAATGGGACACACCTCCAATAACTGCCCACAGAAGAAGAAGTCTGTGAACCACATAGAGGTTAAGGAAGAACCAGAAGATAAAACAGAGGAAGAAGAAGAAATTGAACAAGATTTTGATGATGGATCTTCCATATCTAGTGTATCTAATAATATGATTCAAGCAGACCTGGACATTGCTGATGTAGTGTTTGAGAGCCAATTACCAATGGAATGGCAACCAGGACAACAGATCACCAATGTATCAGAAGCAAGAATCATGAAAACAAAACCCTCCACCGGCAGAGGGTATACAGCAGGTAAATCAAACCTTATAACAGTGATATTTCAAGAACAAGAAGCAGAATTGCTACTAGACAGTGGAGCATTCTGCTCTGTGGTGTCTAAGAAATATATACAGAAAATGTGCCCAGATTTTGAAGAAAAATTATTACCTATAGGCACTCTAAAACTAAATAGTGCCAGTAACACCATGAAACCTCTAGGGATTTTTCCTTGCCCTTTGATCATACCACACCCAGCAGGATCAGTAAGGATCCAAGTGGAATTTATAGTAGTAGAGGATGGAGTTAGTAACTACTTTATCCTAGGGAATGATTACCTAACTATTTATGGATTTGACATTAACAACAGCAGGGAAAGGTACTTTACCATAGGTAATGATAATAAAAGGAAGAAATTTTCTTTTAAAAACAGAGAAATACTGAGTATACAGAAAATTTCAAGAAATCCAGAACTAGAGGACTTTATTAACTCACAACTGGTGGAGAGCAAAATTTCCACAGAATTATCTACAGAACAGACAGCTGCATTACAAGAAATGCTGTTCAAACACAAAAATGCTTTTGCTTCTGACAAAGAACCTTTAGGAGCAGTGATAGGACATGAAGTGGATATTACACTCAATATTGATAGACCCTACCCACCACTGTTGAGGAGGCCAGCTTACCCAGCCAGTCCCAGGGCTAGGGAAGAGCTTGAAAAACATATTGAGGAGCTCATCAGGCTGAATGTACTCAGGAAGATTGGCCATAATGAGGAGGTAGAAATTACCACTCCTGTTATAATCACGTGGCACAACAATAAATCCAGAATGGTAGGAGACTTGAGAGCTCTTAATACATATACTGTTCCAGACAGATATCCCATACCTAGGATATCAGAAGCATTGACTAATATAGCCCAAGCTAAATACATTACTAGTATGGATGCATTGAAAGGATTTCACCAAAACAAGGTGACAGAGAGAGCCAGAAAATACTTAAGGATAATTACTCATAAAGGGGTTTATGAATACCTTAGGATGCCTTTTGGGATCAAAAATGCCCCATCACATTTCCAAAGAATGATGAATTCAATATTCTTTGCTGAGATAGCAGAAGGCTGGCTGATAGTCTACATTGATGATATTATTATCTGTTCTATCACGTGGGAGGATCATATGAGTAGAATCAACATAGTCCTAGAGAAAGTTATTGAAGTAAATCTGAAAATTTCTTTAAAGAAATGTTCTTTTGGATTTAGTGAACTGACAGCCCTAGGACACGTGGTTTCTGGATTATCTCTATGTGTAGACCAGAAAAAAGTAGCAGCAGTAATGCAGAAACCAGTCCCAGCCAATAAGAAGGAACTTCAAAGTTTTCTAGGTTTTGCCAATTACTATAGACAACACCTAGAAGGTTATGCCAACATAGCCAGAAGCTTATATGAAATATGCTCTGATGATGCATGTTTTGAGATGACACATGAAAGAATTATGGCATACAACACTATCAAAGAACATTTGACAAAAGCACCCCTGCTACTAATGCCTGACTTCAAGAAACCCTTTAAATTATATGTTGATGCTTCAATGGAGGGCCTAGGTGCAGCATTACATCAACTACAAATAATTAAAGATATGCCAGTGGAAGGCCCTATATGCTTTATATCCAGGCAATTAAAGAAATCTGAAGCCAGGTATGGAGCAAGTCAATTAGAATGCTTATGCCTTGTTTGGGCATTGGAAAAATTACACTACTATTTAGATGGGAGTGTATTTGAAGTCATTACTGACTGCACAGCACTTAAATCTCTATTGAATATGAAAACCCCTAATAGGCATATGCTGAGATGGCAAATTGCTATACAAGAATATAGAGGAAATATGACAATTGTGCACAAGGCAGGCAACCTGCACAAAAATGCAGATGGCCTTAGCAGATGGTCATTACCTAACACTCCAGATAATCCAGCATGGGTCCCAGAGGAGACAGAACAACTACCAATAATGGGAATAAGCATCACAGAATTGGAAGATGAATTCTTTGAAAATGTTAGACAAAGCTACAAACAAGATAAGAATTGCACTATACTGACTAAAATTCTGAAGATGGACCATAAAGATGAAGAACTCATTGAGTCTTTAGAACCTAAATGGAAGAAATCATACCAGGAAGGCAGATTTCATCTTTTTGATGGTATTATCTATCACAGGAGTAAGCATACATGTGTTTTGACTGTCACAGACAGAGTGATAATCAATACCATCCTATATGAGTGCCATGACACAAATTCATCAGGACACCTTTCAGAAGATAGGACAATTGAAAGGATTAAGCATACAGCTTGGTGGCCTGGGTGGAAAGATGATGTCCACTTATACTGTAGCACTTGTGAAAGATGCCAGAAGGCTAATAAAGCTACAGGTAAAAGATTCGGCCACATGATGCACATAGAAGAACCCACCATGCCATGGGAAATTGTTAACATGGACTGGGTAACAGGACTTCCACCAGGGGGCAAGAAAAACTACAATGCCTGCCTAGTGATAGTGGACAGATTCAGTAAGACTCCAATATTTCTACCATGCCATAAGGATGATACAGCCATGGACACTGCCCTGATGATATGGAATAGAGTCATATCTTGGACAGGACTATTTAAAACCATTATAAGTGATAGAGACCCTAAATTCACATCAGAATTATGGACAAACCTGTATAACTTATTTGGTACTAAACTGTCTTTTTCCACGGCTTACCACCCACAAACAGATGGTTTGGCCGAGAGGATGATTCAAACTCTAGAAGACATGCTGAGAAGGTTTTGTGCTTATGGCCTGGAATTTAAGGACTCAGATGGATTTACACACGATTGGGTCACCTTATTACCAGCACTAGAATTAGCATACAGAACA